ACTAATAGACACTATTTAAAAGAAGGCAAGGTCTTCGAGAAAAGATGGCAACCATCCCAATAGCTGAGTGCTATTGCTTTCTCTTAATAACATCTCCGGAATGGAGCAAAAGGAGGATAAGTGGTTGGTAGATAGACATGACTACCCCAGAAATACCTGGTAGGCAGAAGCCAGCAACTAAAAATCACAGCCCTATATACGGAAAACGGCTAATGTTTTTGTCGGTGGTGACACCTCTTCTTATACTTAAAAGTTACTCCTTAGGGCTTGTACTAAAGCGGAGAGCACAACTGTAGTTAGGAGAAATTTTCCCTAAGTGTTCTACTACTTAAACCTTTGGTAGAAAGGTGAGTAAGTTGACAGCAGGCTATTTGAGGCCTTTCATTATTCCTGACTGTAGAAACTGAAAAACCATACAAATTAACTATAACATCATCAGAAGAAATTTTAGGCTTCTATGACCTAAAGTGATTAAACAGCAATGGAGACTCTGACATAATATTGTTATTTAGTGTACTGTGCTTGATTTGTTACAACTGTAGTCCATGGGTCTACTGGTAGAAATGGCAGTCAGTCCTGAAGCAGATCTTGGTAAATTTGCTTGACTACATTCTTTAGGTAGTTGTCTTCCAGTGGCGCTTTAAACAGAATGGCAGCGATTTCATCTTGGCTGTAAAGAACAAAAGGTTACTTAATTTTTCTGGAAACTTGTCTTAATTTCAGTGGAATTCATATTTTTGAGTACAGTTTCTAAGTCTGCTAGGAAGCACAAATCGGTATTTCTGGAAATAACTAGATTGTCCAGTTTAAACTGAGATTCCAAAAATAAGGCCTAAGAACCAATTCTGTATATAATTGTGAGGTATCTTGACTTAGCTGCTTTCTCTGGCTATAAATATCTGTTGGTGTTTGCTGATGGATTTGAGGTGGGCATATTCTAAACTCTGTCACTTTACAATCTGTCAGCAGTGTGTCCAAAAAGTCACAAAATATACAGTAGAAACGAAATATTTTTAGGTCTGTTTCCACAGACTAATTGAGAAAAGCACTACGACTGCACCATAAAAGTTGTTCAAATATGATCTGGACTAAGCTTATGCAGGATTTTTATCCTTCTTGATTCCTGTCTAGGTAGGGGTGTTCAAAAAGTGGAGCAAGTATAAAAAAATAGACCAGCTGTCTCCAGCATCCACGGGAGATAGCAATGAAGGTCACTGACTTTAAAAGAACAAATTCTTCAAAATGAAGTCAGATAGAGGTGACATTTGGCTTTCACTATGGTGTATCCATTTTCTGACCACTTTGAGAGATCTTTCAAAAGATATAACAAAGGTAAAAAAGTAGTTGGGGGCCCTTTCCTGCTGGCCTTTTACTCACCCAATGTTTCCAAGGTGATTTTGAACAGAGAAAGGTAATGGGACAGATGGGTAATGGGCTGAGAGAGACAAAGTTATCTCAAACTTTGCAAATGCTGCTGAACTGCAGAATAAAAGCCTCAATCTGTAAAAGACAAGATCCTCAATTAAAAATACAAAACAAAAATAGAATGAAACACAAATACATATTCCTTTAATACTGGCGTGAGAAACTTTGGTATACATCATTTCTTGTCCTTATCAAACAAACAGAGTAAAACAACTGCAACAAAGTATGATTATGGTTATATTTTCATTAGTCATGAAACTCAATAAAATAAATTATCTTAGTAAGTTTTCAACTAATTACTTACTGTTATAGATTGAGTTGTGTCCCCTAAAAATTCATGTGTTGAAGCCCTAATCCCCAGTACATCAGAATATGAACTAATTTGTAAACAGAGTCATTGCAGATTTAATTAATTGAGGTCCTCCTGGAGTAGGGTGGGGGCCCCTAATCCAAAATGACTGGTGTCCTAATCAAGAGGGAACATTTGGACACAGACATGCACACAGGAAGAATGTCATGTGAAAATGAAAGGAGCTATTGGGATTATATATTTACAACCAAGGAATGCCAAAAGACTGCCAGCAAATCACCAGAAGTCAGGAGGGAGGCATGGAAAAGATTCTCTTTCATAGCCGTCAGAAGGAACTGACCCTGCTGACACCTCAATCTTAGACTTTCAGCCTCCAGAGCTGTGAGACAATAAATTTCTGTTGTTTAAGCCACCCAGTTTGTAGTACTTTGTTATGGCAGCCCTAGGGAACTAACACACTTACTCAGTATTATTCACAGCTATGTTCATTAGGTTATAATTTGGTCCCCATCGCTTTAAAAACTCAATCTCCTCTCCAAGAAGTTTGCAATGGCTCACTACCAGTGAGATTTCTTGAAGCATCTGGGAAAAATAGGAAAAAAAAAAAAAAAATGAGAGTATGAAAACATTTCAGTGTTTAGTGGCTCTTTTATAAAGAACCCCCGAAAGTTAAACAATTTAATATATTTATCATTTCAGGATACACTATTACATATATAAAATTTCAGTTCTGCTATTTGGGACAGTTAACATAATTTTCCTTTAAATACTTCAATGGGAATTTACCTTGGGTACCTGATGCTGTGTTGTACATTTCTTCTTCCAGGATTGCTGTTGCTCAATGTACTGGAAAATAAGGTTATGAACTAAAAGGGAGGAAGGAGGAGCTTTATCCTCTGAGGAAGGGGGAAAAAAAAAATCAAAAGCAGAGTATTACTTATTATTCATATATTTTATATATATATATATAAATACAAGCTAGAAATACCTTCAAACTACTAGGTGTCTAAGTATCTTCTCCATTTTATTTTCAAACACATAAATCAACATATATAGTGAACATAAGACATTCTGATATAAACTCAAGCCTTTATCACATATAGAATAGAACTTAGTTAAAAGTATAGGCTTAAATGTAACATAACCCTGAGTTTAAATTCTGGCTTTCCTTACTAGCTGAGTGATCCTAAACACAATACTAACTTCTTTTGAGCTATAGTTCCCTAACTGTAAAATGGGGAGTAGTGTTGATGTAAGTAGTACACATGCTTGATACAGAGTAAGTACTCATAATGGTAATTTGTAAATTATGGAAATAGCTATTATTAACCATTGTTTAAGATCTAGTAATAACTTGTTTAAAAAATTTCTTTTAAAACCCACCCAATATTTGGAACAATAGCCAAGCAGTTTTAGGTCTAATACACATTTCTAAGAACAAATGATTATTATTGTTGTTGTTTATATTAAATTTAGTATGTAAAAGAGTTCTCAAGGAGCAATATACACTTGTAAATTTCCAACAAAGTCTTGTTGGTTTAAATGTTTTGAACTTACCATCTAACAGAGATTGAAAATTCAGGTCAACAATCTTCCTACAAGCCTTGTCCAGGAAACGGATACCAACTAGGAAAAACCAACAGAAGGATAGTATTTCTTTTTATTATCTGATTCAAAGCCGCATATAACTCAGTACTTTAGAATCCTCCTCTTTCTGGGTAGCAAGGTTTTTTTCATAGGCAGCTGAAGGTTTATCCTTGAATCATATTATTCTCTGTGTATGCAAAGTTTCCCCTGAGAATGCTGAACTATATTAACTGGGCAGGCCTTTAAATGACATTTAAGGTGTGGAACATTTTTGTAATTTATCAGGGCCTCCTCCTTTGATCCCTAACTTCTGTGTGAAGATAATATTATTTTCAGGAACCATATAAAGAAAATGACTATGACCTCCCCAGACCTACTATCTTTGTACTAATACAGTGAAAATCATGTATGCTTTCAGCATTATAGTAATGAATTTTAGGTAGCCAGGAGAGCTGATTGCTCTTCCAGACACCAGAGTTATCTCCTGTATCTCAAATTCTGATTCTTTTCACTTTGTTGATTATTTTCTATGTATTAGGCACCATGGATATGATAGTGAGACAAACAGACATGATCAATCTATGCTCTAAAGAAGCTTACAACTCAGGGGGACACACAGATAATTGTACTAATAAACATACCAAGAACTACAAACTATAATAAGCTCAATTAAGAAAACTGCAGGAAGCAATGAGAACACATACCAGGAGGGCAAGTAGTGGAGGGAATGAGTAAAGGAGAGTCAGGGAAAACGTTCCTGAGAAAGTGATAATTTAGCTGAGCTCTTAAGGACTATTAGTAGACATTTATTTAGTGAAGAGGAGGTGCTATGGTCTGAAATTCATAGGCTGAAATCCTAATGCCCAGTGTGATAGTATTAGGAGATGGGACCTTTGGGAGTTGCTTAGATCATGAGGGTGGAGCCCTCAGGAATGGGATTAGTGCTCTTACAACAGAGACTCTGGAGAGCTAACTAGGCCTTCAGTCATGTGAGGATACAACGAAAAGTCTGCAACCCGGAAAAGGGCCCTTGCCTGACTCTGCTGGCATCCTTATCTTGGACTTCCAGCCTCCAGAACTGGACTTCCAGCCTCCAGAACTGGACTTCCAGCCTCCAATAGTTGTTTATAAGCTACTCAGTTTATGGTATTTTTAAAATGGCAGCCCAGAAGGACTAAGACAGGGGAAAGAGCTTCTAGGCATAAGAAACATCAGTATGAATGTCCTGAGGTAGGATGGAATATGACAGCATGAAAGACCATGATCTTTTAAGGAAATGAAAGAAATCCATTGTGGCCGACGTGCAGAGAACAGTGTAAAATGAGGCAGGAAAAGGAGGAAAAATTCAATTCACGCAGGGCCTTACAGGCTATATTAGTATTTTGATCATTAGTCTAAGAGTAGGAGGTGCATGATAAACTTTTAAACAATCACTATTGCTACAGGAAGGAGAAAGAATTGGAGAGGAAAAGGAAAAGATCTAGAAAGACTAGCTATAGTGTTATTGTAGTCATTTAGATCAGAGATGACTACTGATAGAAGAGACACAAAAAAGTAGATGAATATTAAATTAAAATCAATAAGTCTTATTCATGATTTAGATATGCCTGGTGAGGAAGAAAGAGGTATAGGGACTTCCCTGGTCCCTATTAAGAAAGAATCTGCCTGCCAATGCAGGGGACAAGGGTTCGAGCCCTGGTCCGGGAAGATCCTACATGCCGCGGAGCAACTAAGCCCATGTGCCACAACTAGTGAGCCTGCACTCTAGAGCCCGCAAGCCACAGCTACTGAGCCTGTGTGCCACAACTACTGAAGCCCACGCACCTAGAGCCCATGCTCTGCAACAAGAGAAGCCACCGCATGCAATAAGAAGCCTGTGCACCACAACGAAGAGCAGCCCCCACTCGCCGCAACTGGCGAAAGCCCGCGTGCAGCAACGAAGACCCAACGCAGCCAAAAATAAATAAATAAAAATAAAGAAAGAGGTATAGAGTGATTCCAAAGTTTTAATTTTGAACCTCAACAGAAGTTTATGATATTCATTAGAAAAAGAACTTTTTTGGGGGGGGGCCGCACCCGTGTGGCTTGTGGGATCTTAGTTCCTCAACCTGGGATTAAACCCAGGGCCATAGTAGTGAAAGCTCCGAGTCCTAACCACTGGACTGACAGGGAATTCCCAGGAACTTTTAAGGAGAATTGGTCTTGGAGGCTGGGAGATTATAAAGATCCTAAGTTTCAATTTGGCCATGATCACCCAGGGTTGGCCATGCTGAAGCTATCTGTTTCAAGAGAAAAGACCTAAAGACACTGACAGGAGATTTTAACAAAATAGCTAGGACTCTGTCAAGTTACCATATAGTGATGTCTACCTACTTTGATAAACCTACCAATACACACAGAATTTCCAATTAGCTTTTTAGGTTAATTTATATACAAAAAAACAACCAGTCAAGAATCATCAGCCATTAGAGTAAATTCTCTATCACAAAAGACAGATGGAAAAAAGGAACTCAGAGTTAACAGATGTGAATAGCATGTTGATCCATTATTTTGGATAGGCAAAATTTCTATCTAATGTAATTTGACAAAGGGCAACTTTCACTAGCTGAATTTTTATTTTATTTTTTATTTAATAAAATAAAATTCTATTATCACTAATTTAAGTGATTGCCTCTTTTAATTAAGATTTTCAGCAGTGCTTTTATTATGTCAATAGCTATTATTGTATTAAAATAGAGATATGAATCTTTAGTAAGTTTAGCCATACATTTATGTGCAGGGGAATTATCTTATTCTTGCTACTCACCTACTGGCTCTCCAAAGGTGATGGTGAGTTCTACTGTGTCATAAAGAAAGGTGAATATAGCTTGATCATCACTCCACTCAATGACATCCCATTCAGACAAGCTGAAGAGAGAATAAACAAGACAAAAAAACCCCACTTTTTGAGATAAAAGAAGAGAGTTAACTTCTTATACCACCTGAATAGAGCCATCAGCATCTGCTGGAGTTTTCTACTGGCTTGGGAGACAATCATTATTTTAATTCCAATATTGTGAATATACAAACTTATGCTTTTGAAAGAAATAAGAATGGACTCAATCTTGAGTTGTATATCAGAGAAAAACCAAGTCTAGGCAATATAAAATATTAAATATTTTAAAATTATAATTCCATAGCTCTCCCACCTTGTATACTTTCAGCTTAGTGTTGAGTATATTAACTCTTTTTTTTGAGAATGCATTGTAATATAGGTTAAAAACAGTGATACACATTACAAACACATGTCAACTGCACTAGTGGATTTAGACAACCATGAAGGTACAAGATAAAACACAAGTTAATGTCACCTACTTTTCCTTACCTCAAATGATCCAGTAGCTCTTCAGTTCTATTTGTTTGTTTTTGCACAAAGTCTATTTGAGCAAGGGTCTGCTTTTTCTGTACCTCCAGCTCTAAGAGATTTCTGCAAATCAAACCAGGTATTTAGAGAAAGATAAGGCCACTGTTAGAGAATTCAGACTTCATTAAAAGTTTATGACAAAAAGTCATGTGCTAAATGGCTCCCCAGTGAGGTGTATGACATCCATTTTGCATTCTTAGTTTTTTTTTTAATAAGCATTAAACTAGAAGTTTGGGTCTAATTAGGAAAGGCCTAAATCAATGGCTCTCAAATTGGGATCCATGCAGATATTCTTAGGGGTTCACATGTTCTTTAGGATTATTATTAAAATCTACATTTTCATTTTGATGTTAAAAATGTAAGCATAATGTAGACCGTAAGAATGCCCACCTTAAAACTGAGACATGACATAATTTCAGTGCCTGTGTTTGGTTTTGTTTAGTTTATTAGAGCTAAATAGAACTTACAATTTGTTAGTCATTTTGCTAGCATCAATTTATTTTTAGCCAAATACTGATATTATCACCTGTCAAATTTACATTTTCAATTGGAATTTTTTTGGTTTTGCCATTATTTGTATTTGATTTCTTTTAGTCTTATAGTTAAATAAGATCCAGAGTATAAGAAACACATGGGCTTCCCTGGTGGCACAGTGGTTGAGAGTCCGCCTGCCGATGCAGGGGACACGGGTTCGTGCCCCGGTCCGGGAGGATCCCACATGCCACAGAGCGTTGGGCCCGTGGGCCATGGCAGCTGAGCCTGCATGTCCGGAGCCTGTGCTCCGCAACGGGAGAGGCCACAACAGTGAGAGGCCTGCGTATGGCAAAAAAAAAAAAAGAAACACATACCTCATTTTATATTTATTTATACTTAAGCGCCATATAAAAGCAGTTTAATGCCAGATTTTCTTTAATAGGATCCTGATATTTGTTTTGTTTTGTTTTTTTGCGGTATGCAGGCCTCTCACTGTTGTGGCCTCTCCCCTTGCGGAGCATAGGCTCTGGACGTGCAGGCTCAGCGGCCATGGCTCACGGGCTCAGCCGCTCTGCGGCATGTGGGATCCACCCGGACCAGGGCACGAACCCGTGTCCCCTGCATCAGCAGGCGGACTCTCAACCACTGCACCACCAGGGAAGCCCACGATCCTGATATTTTACAAGCTTGAGAACTACTGCCTTGGATTAATGCTCTGTAAACAATAAATGCTTAGAAAATACTATTGACTAAGATGGCCTCCAAGGTCAAGTTCAAAGTACAGTAGAAGCTCTGACTCAGCCTTAGTCAATACTCATGCCCTCAATCATGTCAGATTCTGGAGGTAGGAAGTCACTTAGCCATGTGAAGTTTAGCATATTTTCTACACTCAAACAGAAGACTAACCTTTGAAGCTTTTCTTCTTCAGTTTTCAGCTGTTCCAGTTCTTTGAAAAGAAAAACAAATCTATCAGAATGTATACATTAAAATATTGGTACAAAAATCATCTGTTTTATTGAAAAGTCTATCTCACTAATCTTACCTAAATAAATAAATAAACTCAGAACAGGGGATATTTTCCCCCCATTTATCTCCTTAATTAATTCAGTTACCTTTCTCTGCAGACTTCATTTCAGAATCCCACTCTTCCACAGGATCGTCTTTCTGTTCATCCTCCAAATACTTAGTTTCTAAAGTACACAACATGCATTAGAATAACTCAGTCAAAAATAAACAACCAGAAATGAAAAGAATAGATGGTCCCCAAATGAAGTGTTAAGAATATTTCACATTCATCTTTCCCCACCTTTCCTTGCCAAAAAAGCACTGAGCTATAATAATAATTTCATACAAAGACTTGCTTCTAGTGGCAGACAAGTGAACTTCGAGCCATATGGCAATGATTTCCAATAGCAGCTTCTTAGGGGACACTCTGAGATGGAAACTGTTTATATATAATTTGCATGTATTAAAGTTATTGTTAGGAAACTCCATGGACTAAGCAGGAACAGATACACATATACAGATGCACATACACAAATTTACATTTTTAAATTTAATTTGTTTCTGAAACCTTGGAAGCATCCTTAAAAGCCTTCTCTCTCCCCACATCCAAACCCAAGTTTAGATTTTTACCTCAAAAATATTTTCTAAATCCACTTTTATCCTTTGCCACCACTAGGTTCCCTTAATATAAGCTATTGTCCTTTCTTAACCATATCAGTTCAATAACTACTTAACTTCTTATAATTACTCTTGATCTATTCAAATCCAGTATCTACACTGCAGCCAGTGCTTAACACCCTTCAAATGGCTATTCACTGTTCTTAGAAAAACTCAAAACTCCTTAAGAGGCCCTCCTTGGCCTGGCCCCTAAAAGTGACATCTCCACTTTCATCTCAGACTGTGTTCCCTTTTGCTCTTTCTATTCTAGCCACATTGGCCTTATTTCAGACCCTTGTACTTGGTATATTCTTTCCCATAGAAGGGCTTCTACCTGTGCTATTCATATTGAATAGTCGGCTCTCCCCTCCCTTCTCACTTTAACTCCTACTTATTCTTCAGATCTTGACTTAAATGCCACTTCCTCAGAGGGAAGCCTCTCCTGACCTGACTAGGTCAGATTTCTGTTTCAGGAACTTATAGCACCATGGAACCACTCTTCCATAGCAGTTACCATAAAACTATTTAATTCTTATAATCTTTTCTCAGTATTGTAATAGCAACTTGTCAAATCCAAGCATATTTGAATGTGATCTCCCATGATTTGCAATTGAAATAGTATTGTGGTTCTGTATATTATGTTAAAAAAATCAAAGCATGGAAACCTTTCTTTGTGTATAAATGTTTGAATTAAAAGAAAGTAATGGGGGACTTCCCCAGTGGTCCAGTGGTTAAGAATCTGCCTTCCAACGCAGAGGACATGGGTTTGATCCCTGGTCAGGGAACTAAGATCCCACATGCCGCGGGGCAACTAAGCTCGCACGCCACAACTAGAGAGAAGCTCACACACCGCAACGAAAGACCCTGCATGCTGCAACGAAGATCCTGTGTGCCGCAACTAAGACCCGACACAGCCAAATAAATAAATAAATATTAAAAAAAAAAAAGAAACTAATTGAAGTATTGATAAATGAAAAAAAATGCTCCACGAGGTCATAAAGTTTTGTTTTTAATCACCACAGTATTCTTAGCACTGAGCACTATACAAGGCACGTAACAGGTACTCAGTAATTTGCTCAAGGAATAATGAAGAAAGAAATAGGGAGCCATCCAGTGGTACCTAGAAAGAGTGTGGTTGTTGGGATTTTTAAAGATAAGAGAGGGGTGAACATATCCAGTGG